AGTCTTACACTTATTTATTTAAGTATTTTATAGAAGCTTATTTAGGAAGAGCTTCCTTCCGAGGTTTTCCCTAGAGACTGCTCTATGGGGCTTTTTAAAAAGGGCGTAAGTAATAAGATTTTTTGAGAATCGCGACGCACACATAATAGTCGTGTGCCCTTAGATAAATAAATGGCACAAGCGAGTCTATGAGTTGAAACGAGGTTTTTTTTATACCACGAAGGTGGCAAACAAGCATACAGTTCCTGTGATGGGGGGAGGGGAAGGGATTGTTAGTAATGGGGTTTGACAGTCTCATTGCTAACAATATACCTTACTAGGACAACCTTCACGTGTTTCCTCGTGGAAACCATCGTGGCTAATTCTTGTTGAATTCGTTACGGTGAGATAACTGACCTGCTTCATCCTCACCTATCATCACTTACTGATGCTCCGCCTGTGTATACCGATAGCGCAGACGAGGTTATCATTCCATTATTACCCATTAAAAAAAGCCCGTCTGATGGTAAACGGTTACAGTAGCCGATGGATACCTGCAACGCTAGGGGCGTCACGTGCTTTTTTCTGAAAAAACCCTGAAAAAACTTTAATATACCCTTTTTAAAAAACCCCATATTATAATCCCTAGGGAAAACCTCAGCAAGAAGATCTTAAGCCATAGCCTGAACGTTCGCAGGAGAAAATTCCTTTGAAACCACACTATACGTGACTATTTAGGTTCAAGCGTGTGAGTATGAATTCCCTGTCGATGGCGAGCAGTGCGGTGATAAAAGGTGACTGGGCATCATTTCAAACAATTCCTTAGAACACAATTTGTTATATAAACGATACATTGGACGTTGCTATCTCATTCTATTTTAAGGACTCACTAACAATAACAATTCTATCACTGGATTCGCTTGCCACTTTAGACAAGAGGGCCTGACGTCCATAGGCTAAAAGTAAACTTTTACTATCAAACACACTGTATGCTTGTTTGCTACCATTACTATTATATTGTATAGTAATAATACTATCCCATAAAAAAAGCATTTTCGTAAATAATACAAAGTAAATTTTTAAATTTGAATTTCAGATACATTGTACATACGTGCCCCAATACTATTATTCATGTCTGTTTAGAAGACGTAGCTAAGTCCATAATTGATATACTTATACTTATTATGTTTATTACGGATGATTATAGATATGTCGAGTAAATAATTTGACAGCACTGCTTGCTTAGAGCTAAAATGAACAGAATTACGACCAAAAAATATTTCTACGAATTAACATTGTTTCATTTAGTTATATTATCATTAAGTAGATTATAAATAGTCAATCTTCACTTTGAGCATAGTAAAATTAACTTTACTTAATATTTATTAAAATTTTTATTATTATATATTATCTAATATCGTTACCTTTTCTGTAATATAGTGTAGCAATCTTTGAATTCTATATTCAACGGAAAATGCAGAGTGCATTTTGCATATTTAACCACTACGAAACCATCTTTTTATAATAAGACAATGCATATTAACAACATTTTTAAGTCGCGACCTAATGGTTTATTGCTCCATTATAGCGGTCGCGAGATAAAATATAGCAGACATTAAAACTTTGTTTATACAAATTTGTAATTCTCTTATAAAGGAGAACAAAATAATTTCTAGTGACAGGAATAGGCTCCTTGCCATAATGGACTCAAATGTACCCTGCAAAATGTGAGCAAGTACGTTCACCATGAAAGCAACAGTAGGTACTTAACCCATATCTATAGATTTATAATTTTATTAATTATGAATATTACTATATAAGTACTATTTAATTTTATGTCATTTAAATATTCGTTAATACCTGACAAAAAAAATTATATGCAATAAATATACTGAATACTAAATATTGAATCACTTTTCGTCTTTTCTTTCGAACTAGTCATTGAATATATTCGTAAAAAAGAGAATGACATAGAATAAGCTTTCCTCTCTCTTCTTTTTTATACCACTGAGGTGGCAAGCAAACTCTGAGCACAGTCCATCGTACAAACGGTAGAATACGTAAAGTGAGGCAAAATCTCTCTTAAAACTTAAGGGTTCGTGACCGCTTGTCAGCTTGGGATCACAGAAAATTTTCATAACATGTCATCGCTCTGAGTCTCTTTCCCATTGCTCTAATAATATGGGAATTTGAAAAAAAGGTGCCTACACATATATTAAAGGCACTCGTAACTCTCCTCTTGCAAATTTGCAAATGTTCACAAGTGATGGTAACCATTTTCCAACACGTCAACATTTGTCAACTTCTTAAATATAAAAAATAAATAGTACAAAAATATCTACATTGAAATGACACTTCCTTACTTTAAAAAGTGTTGAATCTCAAAACCTGCTTCGAGCAATACTGCACTACAGAGTTTTGTTTCGTCTAAATTGTCTGACGCCTCGGCACTATTTTATTTGGATCGAATTCTAGAGAGAATGGGAAGGAATTGCACAGCAATTTATGGAACAAGCCTAGTGTCGGGAACAGGAGGTGGAGGCGGAGGTCATTGTGTTGTGTTGTCGCGACGGCAAATTGACTCGACAGCATTTCACGGTCTACTGCGTAAGTGCACCTCGTGCCTCATTCGCCTTTATTAATGCTGTTTTCCTAAGACTGTCTTCATTATTGACGAAATACGTCTTGCTTCTGAAGTATTGTATGGAGACTTATTTTTTCCAATATTGGAATCCAATTAGTAGGAGACCCAAATATCTGTATAAAGTTTAAAAAAATATGTAGGTCAAATAGAAAATGTTAGATCTTTTTAATAGAATGGTTATGGATATGGGTCAATAAACAATAAAAAAAATTATGCTTCCAAACATTACGCGTCCAACTGTTCAGATAGGCTCAAAATGTTTTGTCATTTTTAAATTTTTACATATTTCTGTCCATCTCTCTATGTTCTGTAGTACGGGTCGATTCTTGTTTTACATACGGCTAACGACTTTAATATATAGGTATACATTTACCTAATAATTTGTACTAATATTATTGATTCATTTTTCATTCGCAGGTTAGTTATTTAGTTACTATTTATGTCTAAAATAGATTTCTATCACAAAGGTATATTGTAGTATTATGTACAGAGTAAACAGGGTATCGTGCACTGACAATGGCCCTCAGGCGCTGATGTAGGTATTCGCGTGTGCGCATTGCTATAGCTACATCAACTGCTGCCGGATTTTGAAATCGTTTGTTATTTTTCGAGCTGAACGTACGCTGGGAGCAAACGGGCTCTGTTATTAAATCATTTATTATTCAACCCAACGAACTGTTTTGCAATTTTCCCACAAGCCTGTGCAGGTTCCTACAGGCAGGGGTACACTTATACGGCAATTAATTGTTTGAAATGGACCAGTCACGTATAGTCATTTTTGAAGGGCTCTAGAGATTATCGGCACCATTCTAGTAATATAATGATATTATAGGCTTAATTAAGAAAAACTTCTTTGACGGACCGTTCTGTCAATACACAGTCTACTGCTAACATTAAAATTTGGAAATTTGAATTTAGATCATATTTAAGCGACGTTACAAGGAAGGAGATTGTTATTATTTGTGTGTTCGTGTTTATATTACATTCGTGTTTGTCTTATACAAGTTTTGTCGTTATTTGAAGTCGCTGTTTTTAATGAAACAAAATTTCAAATTATAGGACGCTCTAAGAAACAAAATGTGTAACGTAATTATGTCTTTTTATTGTAGAGGTTATCTTATTACAAAATTTGTATAAAACCGGAAAGATACAAACGAATGCATAATTTAGTACTATTATATGATATACTTTTACTATCGAGCTTTTAACTTTTTGTGAAATATATTGGAGATTTTGTAAAATATATGCATAAACTAGGAACTTGAAATTTTGTGCTAAAGTTTTGACATAGGAAGGTGGCTGGTATTTCACAGGCCTCAAAAAGTCTAGTTAAATAGAAAATTTTATTTCCTGTGCCAATAAATAAAAAGTTTATGATTTTTATAGATAGAGTGAAATGTTTTTTTTTCTTAAATTCATTTAACATTTTTTTAGCTTACAATTTTCTTTTATACTATTATGATTTTGAAAATTAAAATTTTATAGTTTGCGTTTTTTCCTATTGTAATCTTGATTGAAATTTCAAAATATTTTTAGTCTTTTTACCTTTCATTTGAATTGTGATAAATTATACCTTTCAGAATGATACAGAATGCCGAACAACTGTAGATACATTATAATAATTCCGCCTGTAGTGTGTGGTTATCGCGTCACGCAGAACATAAGAGCTCACGCAAAATGCGCGCGTGAGAGCTCACTTTAAAGCCAGAGCTATCAACCCAGAGCCATCAATTATGTTGCCAATATCGTATCATTGGCCGCCAACTACTGGTCTTTCTGGTCCTGCAGCAATCGCGTGCGGATCACCCTAATTGTGGAAAGTCGAGCATCAAGAAATGCTAATTGGAGATAGTCTCGTGCCGATATCGTGGGAGATAAATTTATTCAATAGAGACGATCTTGCTTTCTAATGAAGTGATAGTCTTCATATCAAACAAATATTTTATTATGCAACTGGAGACCTGCGACTTTATATTGGTGGATTTTGGATGTAAGAAAACCAATGAAATTTACCACTTCTGAAGATGGAATACAGAGATATAATATAACACATTTTTAAGTACAAAAATTGGGAATACTACCATAAAAATGCATCTACTTTAGTGTGGTAGTTTTTATGGGATGTCGTAATAAACATACGTATAGACAAGCAAATTTAAAATATATTATTTTGGCTTCTATTGTTCTTTATGACTCTTCATAATGGATATATTTTTTTCTTAAATACCTATCTACGATTTGGACTACATTTGTACTTGTATTCATATATATATATATATATATATATATATATATATATATATATATATATATATATATATATATATATATATGTTCCTTTAGAAATTACCTATTTAAATTTTTATTATTGTTACAGGATAACAATACGGGGCAGGCGTTACTGGATGTCGTGTTTAGGCATCTTGATCTCCTGGAAACTGCTTATTTTGGGCTGCGCTACGTCGATCAAGACAATCAAACTGTAAGTGTTTATAATAAATTTCTGCCCTACATTAGATTAATATGAATCTCCAAGTGCTTATGTGAAGAGCTCGTAACTAATTGCAATTATTACCAAATAATTGGGATGTTGCATGCTGTGGTCACATAATGGAATGCTGACTTGAACATCTTACAAATAATGTGAACAATGAGTCTATTTTCACGCTTATTACCTGTAGAACAACAACACGAGTACTATATTTTAAAAGTTTTTATAAAGTTAAAACATAGGGTAAAATCTCAGATATAACAATATTATCGGAATATATCCGGATACTGTCTGCGGGCCCAATACATGTAGAGTACCTATTGTTCCGGAGTCAATTTACTGAAGTTCCTAGATTGGTCCAACCGAGAATCAAACCTAACAGGATTCATGATGCAATGTATATTAAAGTTTTGTTTAGGTACATTAGTTATCTAGTTCTGAGAATTAGTTTGTCTCGTTTAAGGACAGCTAGAGTCATTAAGATAACGCGAGACGAGCATTTTGAAAACAACAAATTTGGTTGACCACTAACTACTGTCTACAAATCTATAAAAATCCCACATATACGTAGACGACCCGTTTCTGGTTGGTTTATGAACGGTCAACATAAAAAGTCGATGACCACATTAAGATTATCAAAACCTCTATATTCCACAGTATACATATGCCACTGTATATTAAGTTAAAGAGGGCCAATAGTGGTAATATATGATATTTTGGCTTATTCTATATTGGCTTTTGAAGCTGATTGTACTTATTTTGAGCCACGTTTTATTATACCTTACTCTATTTAATTGTATTAAGTACTAGCATGTCTATATAAGTACAAATGTAACGGGAAATTAATGAACTCACTGTATTTATGTCGTTTCCGAGAATTGTTTCGACTTAATCCGAAAGTCTTCTTCAGAACGCGTTCGGCGCTTTGCGTCACAGTCTCTCACCTCGCATTCGAAACGACAAAAACACTGTGAGTTAATTAATTTTCCGTTCATATGTATATAGACATCAAATAAAAAATTAACATAAGTTTTAAAAATAATAAGTACTAGCATAATTACATATAATGCAATAAGTACTTTATATTATTCTTAATTTCGTGTATAATATAGTATATGTCATATATGTGTAAGTATATTTGTCATTTATATATATTTATTCGTTTATATATGTAATTTTAGTATGTATGTATCAATTATTGCTAATACCGCATTCGAGTATTCTGACATTTCCCTATGGTTGACTGGGAAAAAATGCTTTCAGCATTAAGTTTGCCATGTACACATATTTGTACTAATAAATAAATAAATAAATTACATATATTTTAGTCATTTTCTTTTTTTTGTCAATAGCATTGGTTGGATGCCGGTAAGCGTCTGCGTCGCCAGCTCAGAGGCTCAGACCCCCATACATTCTACTTCGGCGTGAAATTCTACGCTGCTGATCCTTGTAAATTACTGGAAGAGATCACACGGTAAATATTTTTTAATATATATATATATATATATATATATATATATATATATGAAATATCTACGGCATATTTGTAAATAATGACTTTTTTTAATATAAATTATGCTATTTAATAATGCAGTTATAATATTCAACCAAATAAAAAAATAATTTAATGAATGAATTTATTTTTATATATGAAATACCAGCAAACGTAGTACGTGGTGAAAATGAAAAGTTTCAGAGAACCTTTCATATTTCGATTATGCTCCTTATGAAGTTGTTCAGTTTATTAAATATTGTCATTTGATTTGAAATAAAACTCCATTCCTAATAGCCAGTAAGTACAGTAGGTAATAGTTGTTATATAATATGTATAGTTGGTCTTTCTTATATGGTGGTCATATATGTTATGGTCGTTAAAGTGATAATGGAAAAAGTTTTGGTATGGCGTAAGGACTACTTTAAAATTTTTCATTATAATACCATCATTGTTACCTTATAACATTTACATTGTTTTTTATATATGAATATAAAAAGTTTTTAAAAAAGGTAACAAATAAGCATATGGCCTACCTGATTGTAAGCGACTACCGAGTCTATGAACGCTTGCAGTACCAGGGGCATTACGTGCGCGTTGCTGACCTTTAAGGGACCTCTTTATTTTTAAAAAGAATGTAAAAAATATGCAAATATTTATGTATGTATAAATCTTATTTCTCTATAATGAAATAAAGATGAGATATAAAATTAATTATGTTTTAGAAATCTCTTTCACTTTGTATTATAATACAATTTACGAGCTTCTTTAAGCGATTTGGCTACACGTTCGTGAATAATATAGTTGAAACACGTTTCTTTTAATAATCTTCTACTTTCGATTTCAATATATTACTTAAATATTAGAGTCATATTAAATTAATGTGATTAAGTCCACTTTTATTTTAGATTATTGATTTTCGTCACACATCTATTAGTATGACACTTTAAAATCAGATAAACTACATCAGAATTTCACTTCACATAACAAAGGATACTTAGAAATTAGCTTTCATGTTCCTGACTCCTACACCATAACAATTCAATTACAATTTGCTCAGTATGAATTTGATTTATAATTAATAGTAAGTGGGGTTTTCATTATCACAATAGTATAAATATCTTAAATTAGATCTAGACAACGAATACCTGAGTTCCCGCAAACCGACAAAAATCGCTTAACTTTTAAAAAAATAGCGAGTTTCAGCGGTTCCGAAGATAAATCTTTCAATAGCAGACTCATCATTATACGAATTGTGAGTAAATTTATTGAATTTATTTTATTATTATAATATAATATTTTCACTGTATTTACATTATCACACAATTTAAAGAGATTGACCATTTAAAGACTCTGTATGAAAAAACAACTTGTCTGCCAACAACTGGCTAATAATTTTTTAAATATTTTTTCAATTTCGTTTCATTTAGATGTTTCAACGAATATCATGCTACAGTATTTACTTCAAAATACATAAGTACCGTTGAACATATGTACAGTACCGTCCTCAAACTAAGCCCTGGATATTAGACAATCAATAATATTACATTTCATTTGAACCTACTCGTACATGTGAGTACAATACAAAAAGACCCAGACCTATACATACAAACATACTCATAAATATAAATGTTTGTATTATGAGGGAATTGAACTCTCAACCATCAAATGGTGAAGCAAAAATGATCATTATCACACACATAGTCCTGTTTCCTGTTTCTGCCATTAACCAGCAATGGAATTTAATTAAACTACTATTAATTGTATGTGAAATTTAAATTATTTAAATTAATATTAAGCACCTCTCGACTATAAAACCGTTTGTATATTTAAAGTGAGCATTAATTTTGAATATAGCGAAACCACATCAAAGTCCCGTACGGCCTATATCTATGAAATGCACGTGTGGTCTGTTGTAATGTGGCTAACGTATCCATAACGTCACTTGTCTCATATATTAATATGAACCGAAGAGCGACGCTGGTAGGAAGTCGTAAAACACATCTGTTGAAAATGTAGAATGCTCAGCGCTTACACAGCGATATAGTAGCTACGGTTCAATAGTATATTATCATACTAGATATAACTCCCAGTTTTCGCGTTAATCTAGGATATGGTCTATCGTATATATATATTGAGTTTTATTAAAATTCGTTTCACTAAGTTTGATAGAGTAACAAACATAAACAAAAACTTTCACTTTTATAATATTAGTAACATGTCATGCCATCCTATTAATATTGTAAATGTGAAAGTTTGAACATTTACATTTATTGAAATTTAGACACAGATATACTATATCCTAGATTATGGTACCATATGGTACTATAAAGTAAAGTATTAAAGTATTTAAATAAAATGATATTTAATTTAGTATTAAAATATAAATCAGTATAGCCATAATTCGCATAAAAAAATATACGAAATAAGGTAAAAAGTATCTGACCCAGGAGATCAGTTTATTTGTACCTATACCAGATTTAATTTAAACTCGTTCAACAAACAACGTATGATTGAGAAAAACATTCAAGTATCTTCACAAATTTCACATTAGTTAAGATACTTTTAATATCATGCTAATGTGAAACGAGCTTTATAATATCACATTATGGGAACCGACGCTACTATAAGGGCAATCATACTGCATTCTCTGAATAATAATAATAAACAGGCACGTTATTACTTTAAATCATATATATTTGTATATGGGAGATGGTCTATTTGTCTATCAAATTTTATACATATCTGTTCAGCCAAAATTCAACTATCTCCAATTTCATATTAATTAAAACACATAACTCACAATATGTGGCGAATATGAAACAGTCTTTACGTTACGTTATAGGAACTGACGACGCTGCCGTTGCGGCAATCACACAGCGTATTTTTAGTAACAATAATGAACAGGCACGTTATTACTTTTAATCACACATTTGTAAATAGGAAACGGTCTATTTGTCTATAAAATTTCATACAAATTTGTTCAGTCAAAATTAAAAGATCTCAAATTTCATATTAATTAAGACACTTATAACTCAAAATGTCCGGAGAATGTGAAACAGTCTTTACAACGTCACAGATAATATAATACTATGACAACGTTATGTTATGGGAACTGACGACGCTGCCGTGGCGGCAATCACACTGCCTACTCCCAGTAACAATAATAAACAGGCACGTTATTACTTTGAATTGTACGCATTTGTGTACTTTGTCTTTAGCCACAGAAATCTTAGCAGGAACACTTCGATGTAATTATTAAATAGTTTAAGCTTATTACGTTTCCTTTTGCCTCCATCGTAATCTGATAATTACTTGTTATTGTCATTGAATTGATATTATTATGTTTTTACTGTATATCTTTTTGTATAACTTTGAATTAAATAAAGTCTAACACAGTTCAATTTCCTGACCCTTGTAAATATACTATAATAAATAATAAAATAAATAATAAAAATAAAATATTTTATATTTTTACGAACAATATTACGCACTTTTACGAGATCCGAGGTTGCTTTTAAAGTATTAAAACAAGGTGGGATAAATGCATTAAACCATAATCTTTTCAGCTTTATTACAATAGTTAAATTTTCATGATCATAAAAAGACGTAAAGTCCGTAGGGAACAAAAGAAAGTCTAATAGTGCTCTTGTAGTAAACCGTCGAGCTCGTAAACTGACGCACTCTTGTCCGAATGAATGAGGCCAGGCGGTCTGTACGACATGCAGCGGACTCCGGTCCTTGCCTGAATAAAAGCTCCCCAGGTTTTATTCTCTAAACAACTTTAATTGGATACTCTTTATGAATTTATCTCGTGGTTGCATTGCATTTTTCGATGTACAAAATTTTATCTTTTTCTTTTTATATCTGATTTCTATGCCCCAGTTTAAATTGATAATCTTTGATGCGACGTGTACTGTAAACGGTTTGATGGATTCTTAATAAAAATCATATCGCTGTATATTACCTTATGATGGTATAAGAGATTAAGGAATAGTATTTTTGGTACTCTTCTTACGTATAAAAAATCTATGGCAGTCATAACATAATATTAACATCTCAATTCACTGTAGGTCTTTTTATTAATTTTATTTTAAGTTTTGCTTTATGTATTATTGTAATTAACTCTGTTATTTTATATAATTAACTGTATACTATGGCGTGATATCATCACAAATAAAAGTATAAAGTTAAAATTGTATTCAAATCCGTTTAATAAGTCTTGTGTGAAAGAGTAATAAATATCCAATATGTATGGAACATCGAAGTTTTCGCATTTATAATATTAGTAAATTATTAAAACTTGTGTCAAATGTATACAACATGGATTTCCCTACTTTATTTTCTACATTGTAGGCGGTACGCACCCTCCTTCACTCACCTTGTCAGTTGCTAGGTACCGGGTATGTCTTCCTTTAGGCAAGAGCCGCAGTTTAATATCTACCCGTAACTTCTTTGAAAATCTTGCTGTGATGGTATTTTAATATTTAATTTCTTTTCGGGGGCTGGAATCTTTTTCCGCTTTTGTTAAGCTTACGTCGACTATTACCGAAAAGTGAATTTTACGGATATATTACATTCTATACAAAAAGAATCTAGTTTCAAAAGATATATAAAATATTTTTAAGTTAATTAAAACTAAGTAGGTATCTAGAAAGTCTAGATAACATTATAGTGCTCTGGATCCTTTGTACCTTTCGTTGGAATATTTTTTTCATTTGTACGGAAATATTTATTATCTTTTTTCTTTAGTACCTATTTCACCCTAAATAATCCACCATTTTTACTAAATTCACTCATAAAATAATTACATTAATTTACATTTTTTTTGTTAATTTAATTAGTAGAAAGTGACAAAAATGCTGCAGTTGAAAATTCAAGTTGGTCTCATTTTGTTAAGTTTTTTGTTAGATCATTAAAATATACTTATAATAACATAACATAATAAGTCGAATGTTATGTTTTACGCAATGGTAATTGATAACAACCTTCTGTTCCCAATTACCAATTGTGTTAATTTCGGGAAAAATTATCTTAGTAGATGACGCTGTTATAAAATAGGAACTTATATTTGTATTTTAAATTTCTAAATAAAGACCGTTACTTTATTTTTAAAATTCTGTTTTTGTTATGGTTTTCTGTCTATGTATATATTAAATAAATCTCATATTTTAAATAATATGAAAATACATTTTCAACAGGTATCAATTGTTTTTGCAACTGAAACAAGACGTGCTCCGCGGTCGTCTTCCTGTTAACTTCGATCTCGCCGCCGAGTTGGCTGCTTACGTTCTGCAATGTAAGTACACTTATATTAGAGATTCTCTTTAGAAATATTAATTTACAGTTACCACTTTTCGTCAAATAGCTCTTTTTTTATACAACTTAAAATGGCAAACAAGTGACCCACCTGATGGAAAGTGGTAACCGTCGCCTATAGACATGAGCAGTACCATGGACATAACAGAGTATACTGTTTCGTCCGTGAACCCCCATGTATTGCCATTCCTGAGGACTCAGGTGTTATTCCTCTGTACCCTGTAAATTCACGCCATATCCCACCCTTCAAACCGAAACACAGCCATGTAAACACAACTACTTCACGGTTGAAACACGAATGGGACAGAGGTACCCAAGCAAACGACTTTTATACAAAGTCTCCCTCTGGTAAAAGTAAAGCTCATCAGCTTGTTTGTCATTCTAAATTTCATAAAAAAACATAGTACATAATTGTAAATGTTTTATTAAAAAATATTTAAATTGATGATTTTACTCATAATCATAGTTTCGGTTATAAAATATCTATTTTAATTATATTAATGACTTTCATAGCAGAGATTTACTGTGCTGCTATTTAAGATTTTATTCTACAAATCTGATTTTAACTGTGATAAAATCAATATGAAACAACAGTAAACTTTGTCGATTACGAAAGTATAATATAAACCAGTTCAGAATTAGCCAAGACATCGTGTACTATAACACTATAAAAACATAACCTCGCCATTTTAAAAGTCACTCAAACACTATTACATTTAGCATGGGCCCGATGATTGATTGTCTTTCGAGTCGGCTCCAATGAGATTGAATTTGCGAAAATATTATTTTATTCCTCGTATTGTGTATAAAGAATGTACTGTGTAAATTTGGAATTTATAGATTCAATAGTTTTGACTCAGCAATGATGACTCATCAATTTGAGACTGGTTTGATAAATACTGTTAATATACATACAGATTAATATATATTATCTGTATCTATCTATATTAGCTATTAAATGTCCATTTTTAAACATAGGTAGGTAGGCAAAATTCCCCCTTGGGGGGGTTTTGCCAGTAGTTGCCACGCTTGGCAGGCGGGTTGGCAACTGTATTATACTAGTAGTATAGATTAATCAGTAGCGCCTTTTTCTAGTAATTTGGGTAAATTCCTACTCAAAAGACTACAAACTTTTCTGTTGAATTGAAAAAATTTTTTTTATGGAAATTAAAATATTTAATAACTGTCTTGTGGGGGGAAAGGGATTGTTAGTAATGGAGACTAAGAATCCCATTGCTAGCAATATATCCAACCAGGTCGACTTCCTCGCGGTTCCCCCTGGAAACTATCATGATTAATTCCTGATGAATTCCTCATGATGGGCTAACTGGCCTGTTTTCATCCTCATCGATCACCCTTCACTGTTGATCCGCCAGCGTATCCCATTAGCGCAGGCGAGGTTACCACTCCAATTTCATCCAATAAAAAAAATAACTGTCTTGTAGTCATAAATACCGTTAACAATTATGAAAATTGATGACAGTTTATCACATCCTGAGGCCTAATTAAAATGGATATTTTTTGTATTTTAGCAGTAATTACTGCTTTACAGTTTCTGATCACAAGAAAAATAAAACACATAAAAACATATCCAATAAAAAAATCTTAGAAACCAAAACAATCTGCACAAAATTTTAATCCTACGATCTCATTTAGGTATGTATATACTGAAATAATAACCATTCTGATAAGTACTATGCGACAGTTATTTTTATTGATGACGCCAATCTAACGTTTTTGTTCCGTTATGTGTAGTCTCGCTATCAGCCACTTTCCCGATATCCTTACAAAACAAAGTTTCCGAGGAAAATATCCACACTTGTTATACAATAAGTTTGATATCCCTCATTGGCAACTACAAACCGTAAAGCTCAGTAACCTAATAGATAGTTATGGCACTAATCCAAAGGAACGCGATTGTCTCTTTAGTTCCTAAATATTCTTATAGAAAATATGCTATATTTGTGACAGTATAAGACAATAACATTGTTTGTTTGTACAGATTCCCATCTCCATTCTATTTTGCTGAGGTCATGTTTTTTATGTCCGTTTGTTTACATTTACTGTAGGTATATTTTTAGGTTTAGTTATCTAATTAATAGTACTTTGATTCATTTATATAAATATACCCCACAATTAAGGAAAGTTAAATTTTGTAATAGTATATTTCGTTGATCACGTAGATCATCAGATTTGTTTGACAGCTATTTATATATATTTATCTTTAAAGCTTGAATTAATATTTTCAATCGACTTCGAAAAGAAGGAGGTTCTCAAATTTTTAACTCTGTCAATTCTAAACTGATTTTGAAAATTATTTTTTATCTGACAAGACATACAGCTTGATCCTATAGAAATTTTATCAAAATGAGTTCAGTAGTTTGTTTTCAAATACAAATAACTGGTTTTGCCAGAATTGAAGTCAGTTTAAGGATTTTTTGTTTTTCAAAGTCTCTTATCATATAATACCATTTTTCATTTTAGTGCAATCAATAAAAAAATAATACACACATAAACTACAACAAAATAACGTTACTTACATTATTTTGTTCATTATTAAGAGGTTTTATGCATATTTTACTGTTCATTTCGTTTATTTATTACAACCATCAAAATTTCTTAATTAACGCCCGCAACTTTGATGCGAAATAGCTACGTATACGGTTACCAATAATCCTAAAAAGAAACTGCTCAAATTCCGACCGCGGCAAAGTCTCAACGGATCTAATTCAGAATTGCGGCTAGTCATAATCCGAAGCAGTCAGCTAGAATTTCTGTTGTAAACAGCGACACGAATTAGAGTTGCTCTGTACGGCAATAGTGGCAGTAAAATCCGCGAGTGCCAGTCGTGCTCCGTTTACAAAGTGCCTGTGCGGCCACTAACCCGCCATTTCCCACTTGGCGCAGTTGGCGCCCACCTTGATACAGCGACCTCAGTTCCACCATTTCGCGTAATAGCGCACCTATTTTATTAACCTGATTGTAAGCATTCGCGACCATTTCCTCGGTAAGCGACACTTTCATAGTTAATTCTGAAGTCAAAACTATTACCGGCGGTTTCTTAAAATCTTTACGGGATATTTATTTATATTGAAATGTAAGCTGAAAATTTGAAATGTAGCAATAAAATATATGCATATATATACATATTTAGATATCTTATATATATATATATATATATATATATATATATATATATATATATATATATATATATATATATATATATATATATATATATATATATATATATATATATATATATATATATATATATATATATATATTTGGATACCTTTAATCGTTACATTAATGTCATATTATGTACTGTAACATATCTGCTTCTCTATCTATGGTAATAAATATTTTATTAAAAAATTAGCAAGCATCGTATATAAGTATAAGACTTAAATTAAAAAATAGAATACCACTACTACGAATATTATAAATTTAAGTAGTAAAACTACGTAAATAAATATTGGCAATGTAAATTGAAGTTAACAATTAAAATTACAAAAAAAACCAAAAACGTAACAGTTAGAACGTGGCATAGAATGCGAAATGATTTTATGTTGCCGTACCATCCATTCAAATTAATGTAGTCGCATATTTCAATAAAATTTTGTTTCAAATCTATATTCCATGCGATAAAATAGTTGTAGCACTTTTATCTTGTTTCGCCCACGCAAACTCATTAAATCCCGTTTCCATGGAAATTAACGAAAACCTTAGTGTTCACATACGAATAATTATGTAGGTACAAGGAACGTCTGCGCAAAATTCTGTTTCTAGACCCAGTTCCTATTTTCGGTTGTGCGTTATCAATCACTGACTCGAGTTTATGTACGAGTATATACAGTATATAGTTACATATACTATATACAGTATATAGTTATAGTAATAACTATATTACTCAAACATTGTTCTCAAAAACGATAGAATCTCATCCTTTGCCCTAGTATATAAACTAAGTTAGGCTACGTTTTTAATGTATTACAATTTTATTTTATTACGAACTCAAGCTGTTACCTTTGACTTCGTTAGAAAATTATGACCTATATTTTAAATTATTATTATAATTTTAATGATATAAAAATAGTTTTAATTGTAAGTTTTACCAAAACCAATCTACCCAATTAAACATAAAATTCAAGCAGTTAGACAACGTTACTAGGTTAATCATTATGCATAATAATTTCCCGTTACTGTTCGAATAAATAAGTTTTTTGAATTAATTATAAACTCTTAATTCTAGTTTTCTGTTTTTTTTTTATAATGATTGTATTTTACAAGTGCGCTTAGATATTTAAACTAATTTTTTGTCCGCTATTTCGTCCGCATTGATTATAGAAGTAGGAAAACCAACAAAATAGAGCATTTCTAGATAGCGTATATAAAATATACCCTTTTTTATTTATATCTTTAGGAACACAACTGTGAAAACCATATTTCTGCGTAATGCCGGAACAAACACACAGAGAAAGAAATTCTAAAAAATATTAATTTGGCTTCCATTGATCATTACAAAGATACATATCACAATATATCAAATTTTCTTAAACATCTCCCACAAATCACAGACATCGTCTAATTACAATTTTTTTATATTAATAACATAATATTAACTTTAAGGATAATTTTTGATAAGCTATAACAAACTCTTATTTTGGTTAGAGAACATATAACATGTACATATATATAACAAATATATATATGTAATATAACAAATGTAAAAAAAAATTTACAAATGTACTTAATGACTACAGAAAAATTAAGTTTTTTTAACTATTTCAGCGTTCTTATTTTTTTTTTAATAAGTGAAAATAAAATAGCAACTTATCGATATACACTGTGCATCAGTAACATTTGATATAGATGAGGAGCAAGCCAGTTAACTATCGTGATGAGTTCAACAAGAATTAACCACGATGGTTTCCAGGAGGAACCCCGTGGAGATCGATCTGATATATTGCTAGCCAT